ACCCGAGTGTCCCCAGGGCCCCACGGAATTCCAGGCACGGACTGCGCCCTCGCATCATCACAGAGCGCATCTCGTCTGATCGATCTCGCTCTCCTACTCGAATCCGAACCCGGCCTGTGGATACTTCCTCCACCTGGTATATACCGGCCTTATCCCCGCCTCGTGCGGCACATCGGGATGCCACTGACAGCACTTCTGGTCACCGTCCAGAGTCAATGTTGGATCGGTTGCCACCGCCAAGACTTGCTCCCCTACCCCCTCGCAGTGGACGCGAACCAGGACAGACATCGCCTACCACACCTGATTCGGATTCGGATGGTTCAGTTCGTCCACATCCAGGTGCTTCATCGTTCCGTCCATCTCCCACGGTGGTTCATGAACCTCGGGAACTTCTACAAGAATTCACTATTGCCCTTCGCAATGCACATCTTGAACCTTTTACGGCGTGGACACAGGGTGAGCTGGATGAGATGGTCAGACGGAAAAAGGACAAGGATTCCAGGCCCACCTACAAAACCATTGCCCGTTTCCTTCAGAAGCCCATAGAGGAAGTCAAGCAGGCCTGGAAGGTCTACCAGCAACTTGAGGCTCGCGCTTAGGGCACTGTGCATCGAAAGAACCAGCGACTACCGGAGGACTAGTCCGTAGGACGTGGCAGTGCATTCTGTGAGCGTTGCATGTTGTCGAGATGGTTTGGATTGCAGACATGGCAGATCGCATGATTCTTTTCTCGCTTGCTTGCATGACATGGCTGGCATACCTTGCAGTAATGAATTGAAGGACCTACATGACATTTCTGCCAGTGAGGGCATTGTTTGTTGTCATGGAAGTTGTTGATGACTTGGATTTCATGCATGGCTGAGCTGCTCAAATCATGTTGGAGCAAGATGTGCAGACATACATCACTTGGACCCATGGAGCGCAGCCGACGTGGTTACAGTTTCACGGGCCTGGTACATTGCTTGACAGACCAGTTCGATGGACTGCTTCACCTCCACCCCCGCCAAGGTTTTCCAATACTTCTTCCACCTCCACCTCCTTTACCGCCACCACCACCGGTGATTCTACACCCACAGTTTATGCCCTCATTGCGTGCCTCCTCGAGCCCTTCTCCTCGAGGACAGTCCTGCCCTGCCACAGTGAAATCGCAGCGCACACGCCGCTCGATATGCAGCGCTGACCAGTTCCGTGATGATGATCTACGCAGTCTCACGCGTTCTCCGAAACGCTCTCGAACAGCATCCGCTTCTGCCCTGCGGAGATCTCGGCGACCCTTCACCGTGTTCCCTTCAAAACGAGCCACCCGTCCATCGCTGTCCCCATTGACAAGTTGCAAGCATTACTGTCATGCCTTTCTACATCATGGACGGAAGTGTCTTTCTCCCTGTGCTCGTCGCCGACCAGGACATTACCATTGCAGGTGTGTGCGGCATCAGCGGCGGTGAAGCATAGGTGTCGTATACTATAGACCTTGTGGATTCGTCCCGCCTTCAGTTTGAAAAGTTGCCTTGCATTGCGTTGTTCAACGCATTCTCATTGCGTCAGGGTTGTCATGGCATGAGTGTTTCGCCGCAGATTCAGTGGCTTTGCGATTTCTTTCAGCGGCCCTGTGACGACCCATTTTGCTGTTATGTACCCGCACTATTTTGAGTACCACATCGAGAGAGGAGTGGAATGGATTCGAATTTACACACCGGGCCCGTGGCAACCCGTAGCCACAGCTACTCTGGGACGTGCCCCAGACTACGCTTCCACGTATCGGGAGTGGCGCAAGTCATATCACTTTGACGTGTACTCGCCCGCAGACAGCACCGGAGGAACAGCTGCGGACCCCAATGTCATGCCCGTTTCGTATGTGTCATACCACGTGTGGGAGTACCGAGACTGGGAAACACGAGGTTATCAACGCCTTGGCATTCCACTACCAGCCATTGGATCGGCGGCGCTCGTGAATGAAGAAGTTACTTCCTCGTCGGAGTCTTCAGTTCCGGATGGGGCGTGGCGGGAACCTTCTCCCCCACCATTCTATGATCCTTGGAACGAATCGGATTGATACTTGAGCAACATGTTGGTTAAAATGATGCGATTGTGCCTGATTTGATTGCTGCATCAACTTGGGTTGTCTTGACTTGTGTTGTGCTTTCCGTCTCCATGTTTTCGCCGCTCCCTTTTGCCTCAAAGCTGGTTGATATGTTCAATTCTACAATATATGGCACTGCAAGATGGACCCTACCACGCTACTTTGAGTACGACATCGTCAATGGCCCTGCGAGCACAAGCGTTGAATGGATTCGGGTCTATGTACCTGGTCCGTGGCAACCAGTCGCCGAGAACACCTTGGGACCGGCCCCGGAGGACACAACCACCTATCAGGAATGGCGCAAATTCTACCACTTCGACGAGTATTGGGGGCGGCACCAATATGGGCTCTGTTTCCCAGCCGGTCTCATATGCGTCCTTTTATACATGGCAGTATCGTGACTGGGTCACCAGAGGATATCAACGGCTCGGTCATCCGCGCCCCAACATTGCACGTCCAGTTTTCGCTTCGGGATCACCAGACCTCATGTACGCTGGACTGTCCTCTTCGTCGGCATCCTCGAACTCCGATGGTGGCTGATGTTCGTCCTCGTCTTTCCTGGATATTCAATTCAATTTGATTGGGGCAAGTGACTTCGACACCTGAGCCGCGCCTTGCTACAAAAGTGTTTGCTTGCATGTTTGCTGTTGTGTCTCATGTAGTACTAGTCGTCTGCAGCCGTACACCTCTCAATTTGTCATCAAGGGTTTGAGTTGTCATGCCGTGGCTGGAGTGGTGTCCGGATCCTCAACAGCCAGATGCCCAGTGGGTCAAGATCTTTCACCCGGGCTCATGGACTCCACAGGACGAACATGATGCTCCGCCTCCGCCTCATACATACAGAGAGTGGAAGGAGTTCTATGTCCCAAATCCTGATCAAGAAGGTGCGCAGCCCAACAACAGCATTTGGTACAAAAAGGGACTGGGCCACAGAGGGCTATCGGCGAGTCGCTGCCCCTCAAGCTGGTCACGACTTCGATTCGATGTCTTTTCCTGATCAACATAGCGTGGCCACGCAATCCTCGGCTTTGTGTATGTCACCGCAAATGTTGAATGCGATTCTTAGATCATCGGATGCGGCGGCTTTCTCCTCTGAGGATCTCACTCGTCTTCAAGATGGGATCTCTCAACAACTGTCGGATCGCGCGCGTCATGCATCCCAACAACACCAACCAGTACGTGCATCTCGTGGAGTTGCACCACCAGAGTCTATTGGGGTCTCTGATCCATACCTGCCTACGACCCAATCATGCAGCTCCACCGCCAAGGAGAAGCCTATCTTCGAGCTAAATGATGAATAGACTGATGCGTGTTGGGCATGGCACAAAAGGGTGCTTTTCATGCTTGTGCTTCCTTGCTTGGTTGCTGATTGTGCATGGTTGTACATGGTGACTGTTTCTTTGCTAGCTGGATCTGAACCCGCGGTACGTCCTGTCTCTCACTTCGGCATGGACATCGAGGATGCAAAGCAGTACCCATGGCTCGAATATTCGGTCTGGCAGGATCAGGAGTGGGTGCGGATCTATACTCCGGGACAACCTCAGCTGTGGCAACCAGGAGAAACCGTACCTGACCTACCAGACAATTTGTTTCGGGAGTGGAAGCGGGTAACTGATCCCATTGGTGGGACTGGTGAACACAGTCAGGCGTGGACCATTCGCGACTGGCAGCATCAAGGATACCAACGCATTCTTTCTCGCTGGGAGTCCTTCTCCACACATCATGCCCGTGATCAATCACTTGTTGACGTGCAGAATTCGGACGCAATCCGAGTCGAGGAAATGTTCACCTATGCTCCCCCTATTTCTGACGGTGATCGCTCGACTGCTTTGCAATTCCCTCCAGTCTTCTATGGCGACACCCGTAATGCTCATTGTGGTGATCTTTCGTTCCCGTCTTCTGAGCGGCTTAGGGCAGTTTCGCGTTCCCCTCGCCGCGGTGGATATTTTGGCAAACGATAGAGACACGAAGTTGAGCATGTGATCTTCCTGCAGAAAAAGAGACTTCTCGCCCCTCACTGAGGGGCGTGTGTGTGCGGACTGACAGAATACCCTGCACCAACATCAAGCTTTCACCTTTACCACAGGGGGATGCTGGGGACCTGTGCGGTCGGCATCCAACGAAGACGCCGCACTTGTCCTGTGATATCGAGGCTGATCACCTCGACGTACCTGTGCATTTCGTGTGATGCAAAGTCCTTTTGGCCCCCTTGGTTGCGGCGCTGTTTGTGCTTCTTGTTCTTTTGGGTAACGTGTTCGCTGCTAGAGGGAAGCCGAGTGCATCGCGAGCAGAACCCAGTCGAGACTCATCAGTTGTACTCGAGACTCATCAGTTGTACTCGAAAGATTAGTACCCTCCATCTGGAGTTTAAGTGTGTGTGTGTGTGTGTAGGGTGCCCCTCTTTGAAGGGTTGGCCTGAACAGCAAGGAAAGAGGAAACCAAGCATTTCAGGGGATCCCCTTTGACACAGAGACACCCTTACCTTGCAAAGCTGGTGCATCCCAGCTGGCGGTTCAGCCGGCCTGGAGCGCAAGACAGCAATGAACGCATCCAGCACAACACTTTGTTGCAAGTTGGTTCACCGAAAGGAAGGCCGTCCAACTTCCTGACACGGGAAGCAATTACCAAGCTTGCAATGAGGGCGCATGCATGGAACAATCATTCATTCATCTTACAAGCATTTATCAGGTATGAACATAGATATCCATCCCAAAATGCATGCATAATGGTGTCTGCAAAACAGGCACCACTTGATGAACGGCTGGCTGTCTGAGCATTGAGCTGGCATGCGGATGGGCCCACGCCTTGTGCAACATACGAGTCTTTTGTCTGAGCCTCGCGGTCAGCTCGGCTTGTCCTTTCCCCCCCCTCCCTCACGCCCTTTGAACGCGATGCTGAACCCGCGCGGATTAACACCGAGGCCTCGCAAGAAGGGATTCGATCAGCCCTCCTTCGTGGTGGAGGACTATGACGGCAACCTGCTCACCCTCCGGGAGCTGGAGGCAAAGAGAGAGAGAGAGAGAGAGCAGAAAGCTGCAAAGCTGGCGCGGTGGTTGCTTTGGGAAGAACAACAGGGGTTGCAGGCGGGAGATTCAGGATGTCCTTTCCTGGCACCGCCCATGCCATGACGAAACGGACCGATAGGTTCTAAGCTCTGTGGGTCAAGAAGTACCTACTTGGCACTAACAAAGCAGACTGATTGCTGGAGAAAGGTAGGCTTCTGCAAAGATGTTGGCTGTGATCTGCCAAAAGCCGAGCATGTACTTGGACGTTTTGTTTCAGGGTGATTTGGGCCTTCCCCATCATTCAGAGGGGTGTGGTTCTGGAACATGCTTCCTTTCCGTCCCTAAAGCGCGCCATCCTGCGACAACCTTGTCACTCCCCCCATGCTTGAAAACGAGTTCTGTGATACCGTGCGGATGGCCCAATGTATGGCAGATGAGGCATATGTCATACTCAAAATCCGGGTGAGGGAAGAATAGTCGACAGTCCCAACAAGATTTAGATGCTGATTTTGTAGTTCTTTACATTTGCGTAGACCATTTTATTACCGATCGCTCCTCCAAAAAAAGGTGAGTTGGTGCGTGTTGTAAGGGTTTGGGGGTTCCAGCCGTTGCCACTTTTTCGGATGCCAATCTTCTTTTCTTTTTTTTAAATGCGGAGCTGGGAGCCTCCCGGCGCGGAACGCGGCATGGCGTGAGGCCAAAGACATCCTCTCCCCCGGCTGCGAGCTGCGGCGCCTGAGGATCCAGAGCCTCTCCCAGGCCGAGCCCGCCGCAGCCTGGAAGGGGAACGGTTCCGGATGTGTTTTGGGCTCTGGTCTCCTGCCTGAGTTCGGGGGAGGTGGTTCTGGGCTCGCGCGCTTTTTTGCTTTGTGTGTTTTGTCCCCAGGTAGCTGGAAGCTATAGAGGTTCTAACTTCCAATCAAGAGGGGAAGGTGATTTGCGAGATTGACGGGGGGCATGCAGCCTGGGTGCTGGTGCAGGTGCTGTTTTGGGAGCCTGGTGACGGCACGGGCGCATTTTCGGGGCATGCAGTTTGCGGTAGTGGGCGCATGTTTGCGAGATTGACGGCGGGGTGGCGCTCTTGAGGGGGGTGCTGTTAAAGGTGCTGGTGCGCAAGCATCGGGCTGGTTGTTCGCTATTTAGGGTGCTGGTGTATTTTGTTTCGGCAGATAGGAAAGGAAGTTGACCCCTCGGACCCCTCGCAATTTGGGGTTCCCTGTGAAATTTCTGGGACCTATGGGTGACTCCAGAGATGTGTCTTTCGGGTCATCCGTCACAGTCCTTATAGAGTTGCGCGCGTTTAATTTGACCCTCTCAGTCAAGTAGGGGGTATGTCTGGAACTACTGAAAGCGATTTTTGCGTTCTCTCGGAGAGCTTTAAACATCGGGTGTTGAGGTTGCATCTATGGGGGTCTGATTTCAGTCTGTTGGGTTCATGTCGCGAGCCGCAGGCGTTTCTGCCGAAGAATGTGAAGTCGCCACTGTGCCGTGGCATATGAAAGCAGGGGGGGGAGGGGATTGCGGCGCGCCTTCCTTACTGCACCCTTTGGACATGACCTTTGAGATGATGGGATGTTTCAATCGATCTGGACCTTCCTTGCGGGGTTCCTGCCCAGAGCGGAGTGAAGGGTGCCGGGCAGCTTGGCATGGTCCGGGGCAATGGGTCCACCCCCCCTCGTTGTCCTCTGCCGCACAGGAACTTCAGGTCCCGTACTAGTACTGACCAGCACTTGCTGGCCTACAAGTGCTTCACAGTCTTCACAGTACTTGTAGCACCGGAGTTTGCCGGTTTGAGCAAACTCCGGCTCACGCCAATCTCGTTGGCAGCGGTTTCTGAATTTCAGTAGTGTGGGCCTTTTGGTGTGCACTTCTTTTTTTTTTGGTGAATGAGGTTTCAGCAATCAATGTGCGTGCATGTGTGTGTGTGTGGTGTGTGCATGTAGTAGGGTGTGGGTGGGGTGTAGATGGGGTGTGGGGTGGCTTTGTGCGCTTTGTTTTTTCCTTCTTTTTCACGGACACCTCCGCACCCGTTTGGACCCAATTCGCTCCTTCACCAGGTTAGGCAAGGGCAAGACGCCTTGCTGACCACAACGTAGCGCGCACAAGACGCAACAAAAAAACATCAGCCACGCTGAAAGCGCTTTGCCGACCATCATTGACGTGGCTTAGGGTTTGGGGTCAGTTCTCAAGGGATGGCGCGGCGCGGTTTCTTACAACGTTGGGAAGGTCCATCTACACGTGTTCAGCAAACCAAACAGCAAGGAGAGGTTCTAGCAGCCTGCGATTGGATGTGGCTTTGTCTTTCGGGCACATTGGGAGGTGCAGCATCTCGGGAGCTTTTAAGGAAGCTCCACCGCTAAAGCCCCGCTTTGTGCGGCCGAGGACTGACATCGTCAGCCGCTTTGTTTCGAAGGACGCGTATGCGACCCAGGCGAGTCAGAAAGCTTATGAGTTCTCGTGAGAGAGGCATCCTGGAATGAGCCAGCCTTGACAAGATTCATTCGAACGTCTGACCAGCAAGAACGTGATTTTGCATCCAAAGCCCACCTCCTCAGATTGGGGGTTTGACTTGGCCAAGGGGTGAAAGGGGGAAGGTTGGTGATGGCACCATTTGACTAAGTGTTTCAGGATGGGGGTGGAGCTAGCGTTCATCCAGTGTCTCCAACTATGGTTGAATCCTTAGTTTGTTGGTATTTATGTCGGGGAATCGAAGTGAACGGTGGTGTGAAATGGACTTTGCAACCATTCACAGCACACTCCCCAGAAGCTCCCAGGGGTCTGTTAAAGTCCAAAAGGGTCCTGGAAGCTTCCATGGTCTGGAGTGTATGTCTGAAAGACCCTGGATCTACCGCTGGCTTCTTCGCGTGACTTTGCGATCGGGGTTCACCGGGTTACGACTTGTCTGCCTGTGAAGTGGGCTGCGAAAGATGTATCCAAACTTCTGGAGCTTTAGTCGTCATCCGGGACGACTCCGTGGCTTGGGGTGCGTCTGATGTTGGAGGTGACAGCAGCCCGGTGCGGAAGCATTTGATGCGAGTCCATCATCATCAGCTTCAAGCGAGCCAGGGTGGTTTTGCAGCCGAGTCCAGCAAATCCAGGCTGCCATCCTACATGATAGAATTGTAGTGGCATGGGCGATTCTGACTGGAGGCAGTAGCCACTGCCAAAACAGCTGGGTGTATGAGAGCCCGGATGACAGCTCAAGTGCCAGAGCCAATGGCACAGCAGAGCAAGGCCCTTTTTCGATAGATGTTGATCGGACTTTGCTTTTTGCAACCTTGCATTTTTTTCAAAGAAGCCTTGCAGGGGGAACATGCAGAAGCCTGGTGGATTGGGTGAAGGAAGCCAACCTGAACGAGCGGAGAATCATGACGCTTATGGCGCTGGGAGCGTTCTATCGAAGCATGCATTCGGTTGTGCGTACTTGTCGGTTTCCAGGCGTTCGTTTCCTTAGATGTGCAGCGTTTTTAGGGTTTAGTGGGGGTTGCCATTTAACCCACTGAGAGTTAAACTCAGGGAATCTGAGGACAGCCCAGTGTGTGCGAGAGTGCAAGTTAGAGAGTGGAAGGGGACATTCGCCGCGGGCGTCTGCGGTGAGGCCGTTACTTTGGGCAGCCTGGAGCTTGGTCACGGGGTCGGGCATGAAGTTCATTTCATGCGTGGGGATAGGCGGATGAAGAAGGCAAATGGAAGATTGTGTTGCAAGAAAGATGGGGGCGAATGTGTGTGTGTGTGTGTGTGTGTATGCTTTGCAGTTTGTTTTTCACACCTCGGGTTTGGCTGGTCAAAAAGGTGTGGCCTATCGACACATGGGTATGTCTTTTAGGAGCCCCGCCCCCCAAAAAAGAGGAGCGTGGTTTTCATTTTGGTTTTCTTTTTGAATAGACCCCCCCCCCAAAAAACAAATACAAAAAAACAAACAAACAACAGACAACAAACAGGTGCCAACTCCAAAAAAGACAGACTCAAACATTTTGGTTCTCCGCCAAAAGGGTCCGTTACGCGCAAGTCTCAGGCACCAAGTGCGTCTATCAGATGCCTTTGGCTGGGGCAAGGTGCCGGTTGAGTGAGTGAGGGAGAGATGACAGAAAATGGGGAATGTGTCAAGGGCAGCAAGTGGAGTTTCATAAGAACATGAGAAGGATTTGGGAGAGTCCCCATTGTTGACACATGCCTTTTCTGTGTTTACTTTTGCCTTCGCACTCCACGGCCTCTCTCAAAATCTCGCGGAGTGACGCCGCAAGCCGCAAGCAGCGCTTGCGCAGGTCTTCTCTGCATTTCGCGCCGCAGGTTGGGCCGTTGGGCCGGGCAGCTGGAGTGTCAACTCATTCTTAGGGATCGTTCAAGGGACGGCTGGTTTTCCCTTCCCTCAAAAAATGGGCTTCCATGCAGTTTTTCAGAGGTACGAGTTGGGTCTGTTGTTGCTTCGTCCGTTTGGTCAATGGCCTTTTCGGGTAGCTTTGTCATTGGTTCAGTTAATTGCGGGGGAAGCTGATTTGCCGCATGATGTGGAAGAGTAGGGCGAAACTGCCTGTTGCACACTCCGCAGTCCATCATTGACGTGCGCTAAGACCCGTCAACAACAAGGGCCCACCCACCCGCCTGCCCGCCCACCCGCCCACCCACACCTCCTCCGCACACCCACACACCCACATGCCTATGCATGCCTACGCACGCCCGTGCACGCCCACACACGCGCACACGCCCGCCTGCATGCCCACGCATGGGCACCCACACGCGCGCACTCCCATGCACGCCCACGCACGCCCAGGCACGGCCACGCCCGCCCACACACACACACACACACACATGCACACGCATGCACATGCACGCACACTCAAAAGCGCATCACAAGCGAGCCAGCAAGCCAGCGAGCGAGCGAGCGAGCAAGCAAGCAAGCAAGCAAGGAAAAAAACAGACAACCACACAAACGAACACAGACACGCAGACATTTCAGTTGAAGAGGTTTGTTTGAGCAGACTTTGCGACTCTTGGGTTGGGAACCATTCTCCCCGGTCAGCTGCTGGCAGGACATGGTCGCGACGGTGGTAACTTGCGGGGGCCTGTGCCCGGGCCTGAACGCGGCCGGGGGCCCTGGATATACCGGGCGCGAGATGAACCACCTCCACGAAACCTGAGGCAGCGCTTCATGTGGGTTTGCCTCAAATCAGGGAAGCGACACAAATTGGTGGTTTCCCTCTGATTTCCCTTTGAACCAACCCCAAGGAAACCTGAACAAAAGACAGACCCACGCGGTGATGGCCCAGGATTCTGGCACAAACTGGCTTCAACATAACTGGCTCGCGTTTCCGTTTAGACGCACAGCGATGCAAGGATCTCGGACAGGGCTTTTCATGTGTCCCCGACCGTTGCCAGATGCAACAGGAGCACCAGTCAAAGGCTACATGGAACCAAGTCTTCCAAAGAGGGGGAGGGTAGTGGAAACTACCACTCAGCCCTTATAGCTAAAACCTAAGAAACCGGATGTCTGGGAACCACCAAGAAAATGGGCCCGAAAAGGAAATGCCTGAAACCCAGGCGTCCCCACGGCCGGTTCGAAAGTCGCGGGCAGGATCGGCCTGGAAGCTTCCGGCTGTCAGGTGATTCGCGAGCTGGTGATGATGCTGGCACAGTACGGGGCCACGACCTCGAAATTTTGGGAAAACGACGGGGGGGGGGGATGTCAGGGCGATCAGGCGGACGGGTGTGGAGAATGGCGGTGGCCTTTTGGGATAGCTTCGAATGATGGACATCAATCGAGTCAGGTGTTTCTCATCCATGCCCCATCTGCGTGGCTCGTTTTTTTTTTTTTTTTTTTGGGGGGGGGGGGGGTGGTTTTCAGAGGAAACGAAAGGGAAAACCACCAGTGTTCGGGGGTCGCCTACAAAAGACAGTACCAGTCCTCCGGGCCCAAAGTAGACATGGCAAGCTTGCCGGTAGCTCCATGCTCCATTTGCTTGCGGAGCGGCAGATTTCATTTGACCTGTCCTAAATGCAACTTGCTGTTGGTTTTCCATTGGAGTGGGCCCTGCTTTGGCACGGCGTTGTTTCCCCTCAACAAATGGCTTGTGGACAGAAATCCAAAGTGATGTCCACCAAATGACCTCTCATTCAATCATGGACCACTAAAGCTATGGGGAGGGGGCTATCCTCTACTATGCCCTTACTAAGGCCGTAGTAAGGGCTCATCCTTGGCTCATCCTGGGCTTATCCAGGCATTCAAAGCCGTGACCTCATGGGGAGGTCGTGTGCAGCTCTCATGGGTGTCAAGTTCTGAGCCGCCAGTGGCTGTGCGCGAGGTGCACAAGATCTATGGCATCCGTGGAGGCTACAAGGGAGCTCCGGCCCCAGTTTGCCAGGATTCCCACACCTTGGTGCCCTTCTTGAGGTGGACACCGGAAAAAGATGAAGATATGTCCACCCCCAAGTGGTAGGTTACAGGCAACCAAACAATTCCACTTTCTGATTGCGGACATCCAAAATAATGGTCGAGGGGTGGGGTTCAGTCTTGAACGCGGCGGCTACATAGCTCTGAGACGGGTGATCCCCAGAGCCGATGTCCTTTTTGCAGTTTTTTGACAGACGGCAAAATTCCCCTGATTCCCCCATGTTTGTCTTGGTCATCCCCTTCATTTACCCACCGTGCATGCAATTTTTCCATCCGGGGGGGGGGGAGGCAGTTCAGTCCATCCAGCCTATCCAATTTGGAAGGGGCACGCGGGGTCTTCGCTTTCTCGCAAGAAACCAGAAGAGCACTCATTGCAGTAGGGCCACCTGCCACGGCCGACGGCAGATCACGCCCCCTGCACAAGAAATAGATTGCTTTTTGAGGTCGGGATCCCGGTAGCTGCGGGGTACGTCCGCGTAAGGTTGTCAAGCCGGAGATGTGGATGGAGCTGACGCCCGACAATGTGCAGGTGGGGGTTGGTTGGTTGGGGTTTGGGAGCTTGGGGGTTTGGGGTTGGGTGATTGTTGGATTAAGTTTGGCGAGAGGTGGCAACTGGATAGCCAGAATCCTAGGGGGAGTCCTGCCTGTAGCTCGTGGCATTTGAGGAAATGTGCGGTGATCAGAACAGCCTCTTTACTTTGGGTGGGTAGGGATGGTCATCACCTCCTGATGGGAGGGGGGCGACCAATGTAAGGGAGCCATCACCCTGACCCACAGAAATTCAATTGGCAATGGCAGGACATCAACTCTATGGGCGGGCCTGGGCCTCAGCATTCACCGCCTTCCTCACGTTTGGCGAGAAGCTCCGTCGCAACGGAATGGTAGGTTGGCTCCTGCCACGCCTCAAACAAATTCAGCCACCCATCTCCAGGATTTTTCATGCTTGGCAAAAGCATCCAGTGTATGCCTAGGACCATTCTGGTCAGCGATCGGGGCAACCCCACAGAGGAGGACGAAAAGCGCCGGAACGCGCAACGCCATGCACAGCTTGCCTGGTTTGCTAAGGAGGATGAGTGCACACCCAACAGCTCGTACCACCTGGAAATACATTTTGTTGGAGGAACCGTTTGAAGGACGCTTTTGGATGCTTTTGCAGCTACGTACCTTTCCTGCGCACGGAATTTCCGGATTCATTTCCCTCTTTTTGGCCCTGGTGCTTGTGGTTCGTTTTGGCTCTTGCCATGGCATTCAGCTGTCTGGGAGTCCTTCTGCCGGAAATGCCGCAAGCCATGCGGAAATTCTAAACGAGCTTCGTTTCAGACACCGCATCCTTAGTGTTGATGTTTCCATCTGCCAGCGTTTGGGACTCAGCCGGCAGCTGCTTTTGAGGAGCAGGTGCAGGTGCTGATGGACATGGGGGTGCGTGGCTGCCTTGGGCTGGAGCTTTTGGCAGCTGTTCCAGGGATCCCGTGGTTTCTTCTCGGTGGCGAACACCTGGCGCGCAAGAAGGAAGCAGCGATTGCAGCACTTTAGCACGTGCATAATGTCATTCCACAAGTGATGCCTTGGCTGTTGGAGACGCAATCTCGATGAACACGGACATTGACCAACTGTCAGAAGGCTGGCGCAGACAGTCACATAAGTGCGCGGTGTAGGCCACCATCTTGAGGGATTATTTTAGGGTTTACGCCCTCAATGTGTAACGCTAAAATGCCAATCGGTTTCAAGGGTCAGTGGCAGCGCGCATGCCGGAGACATTGTGGAATTCAACATGTGCTTTTCTTCTTTGGCTTAGGGTTTGGGATTCCCGCTCCGTTTTACGCACCGTTCTCAGCGTCAGCAGCTGTTTTAGTTAAAGCTCAGTGGAAGCTGAAGTGCCGTTTTCGGTTTCAAGCTGAGAAATTCAGGACTTCGGTTGAACGGCAGTCTTGCTCGCAAGTTGGCACATGTTTTGTTTGCACCGGCCGCATGTTGTCAACATGTTGGCCCTTTTTGTTTCTCCCTTTCAAGACAGAAGACCGCCCAAACAACGGCTGAATGTTGCACCTTGACCAGGACCATTTCAATCAGGCTGAGATTGGGCCTCCTGGATCCAAATCCATTCTGATGATTTTAGTTTAGTGAAAGCGTCAACACGCCGTTCTCGCAGCGTCATGTTTCTTTCTTTTTTTGCTGTGTCTGTCTGAAGCTGAGATTGCTTTTGGGAGCCTTTCTTGTGTTTCAAGACGCGTGTTTGGAGGGCACCTCTGGGGTCAACATTCGGAAAGCTAATGAAAACCGCTCATTTTCGACATGGCGTTCCAAGCATTTTCGACATGGCCGTTCCAAGCGTTTGGACACACCAAAGGGGTGCAACGGCCACCGACCTGAGCGCGTCCAGACACCCAGGTGATAGTAGAACCTACATAAACCTTTAAAAACATGTCACTAGATCTGGATGTGAATCGGGCACTGCTCACTTGAGGCGCGCATTTCATCATCGGCGGGGACGGCACGCACCGGGGCGCCCACGAGTGCGCCGACCTCATGGTGGAGAAGAACTGGAACTGCTCGGTGCGGGAAGGGGGGGGTGCAAGGGGTGAAGTAAACGAAGCTGGGTATGTGTCAAATTAGGGACTCCAAATTTGTGGTTGTTTTGCTCTTTTGGCGTAAATCAGGTCCTGCCTGATGGTAGTGGCTTTTCAGGCGTCCCTATAGCCTTTGTTTGGGTCGTTATAAGCATCGCATTTTTGGCTGCGGACGGTGGCCAGGTGGTGGGGATCCCCAAGACCATCGACAACGACATCCCGATGCTCGACTGCACCTTCGGCGCGGGGCCTCAGATGACCTAAATCCGGGCTGCCAGATAGATTAAGTGGTGGCCCCATATGAATCAACCTAGTTTATTACTAGGAGAGTGAAGGCCCCTCCAAAAGCCGTCTGAATCCAACCACCAAATCCAGGGAAACCCCCCTATAAATAGACTGGGGTTGATTAAGATGTGGTCAACATTAAGTGGCTTCCCTCGTGGTGGCCCCGTAGCCGGGGATTGATTGAGACAGGCCACGGCTTGCAAGCTGTGGCGGAATCTTGAAACATCGCAGTGTTACTGGGTTTTGCTCAGGACCCTTCCGGTGAAACATGGCCAAACGTCCTATCACCACGGATGGTCCGTCGGCGCTGCGCTTGTTTTTGTTGGACTCATGGTCGCCGGCCAGGCTTCGACACGGCGTGTATGGAAGCAGAGCGCGCCATCAAGGCGCGGTTCTTCCGTGGGTTTCCTTTGGGTGAAAGTGGATTGCGTAATTTCTCAGCAAATGTTGCATTCATCAACCCTTGACTTGCTTCGACGGAAAGGGGGTGGTGCCATTGCTTTTGGAGGGCCGAGGAGTTGGTATTGCCTCTGCCGACTCATTCCTCCCTCAACGCCTCGGGACTGTTCAAGGGACCTAGCATGCTGGTCCGAGCCAACCATCTGTTTTTGGCATTTGGGTCATTGCCGTCAAAGTCGGACAGTGACTGGATTTTCGCTTTCGGGATGCCGCTTTTTGTCAAGGAAAAGGTTGGTTTGGTTGAACATAGATGGGTTGCAATGGCTATCGTTCCGGTCTCATACGCCAGTTCCAGCATTTTGCCAGAACCGCAGAAGGACATCTAGGCCCCCAAGCGGCTTCAACCAAAGCATTTGGCAGGGTCCCCCCGGCCGTTCAGGCCTCTCTTGAGTTTCTTTCTTACCGCGAGGCCGGATACGTGGAGGCGACCTGCAACGCCAACTGCGTGGGCTTGGTGAAGCTGCGGCCCGGCAGATTTGGCCCAGCCCGACTTATTGTTGGTCCCGCTTTCAGGGGATGTCTTTGAGGGACAACTTCAGGTACACGGAAGGGCCACAGCGTGCCTGTGGTCTTTCAAGGGTTAAATCCCCCTTGAAGGAGTCTAAAGGGTGGTGAGGGTTCGCACCATGGGGCAGATGCGGGCAAGTGGCGGTTGGTGTTTCTGATTCCCTTGGTTCCCTGGCGGGTTTGTCTCCTGGGGGAACCCTCGGAAACACGCTCAGCTGGTCGCTTTGTTTCTTCAGTTGCGTCACCCGATTTCGAACAACCCAGTTCATGAGGTACGGCCGAAAGGGCGCACCAAAGAAAATCTTTCAAGGTGACAGTCCAGTCATGGGGCCCCGCCCCGCTCCCGCTTTCTCACAGAAAACTGGTTGATTTTCCAGCCCTTGCTAGCTGCTTGGAAGGGAGCCAAGGAGCTGCCGGTGATCCAAAAATTGCTTTGACACGGGGAGAGCTACCGATCGGAGTTTCTGGTTAGGGACATGGCCAGTTTCCCTGCGAATCTTGCGGCGAGGATGGGGCGGCACTCGGGCTTCATCGCCCTGCACGCGGGCCTGGCGGCGCGCCACGCGGACATCGTGATGCTGCCGGAGATGGAGATCAGCGCCCTGGCGAAACGAGCAGCTTTTTCGTGAGCCGAAGAAGTGGCGGCCTTTTTTGGCCCCACCTAGATAGCCAAGTTGCTGCTTTTTTCAGTCACTGTTGCAGGTCTTTTTGGGGTAAGGTGCATGGAAAAAAAAACAGCACCTGGCAATCCAGGCAGCCAAAAGCTAACGATGGTCAAGAAATAGAGAGCTGGTATGAGTTCCTGCATTGGTAAGTGTCGAGATGGTCAAGCTTGCGCAATAGGCGATGTTGGAAACACCAGGCCCCCCAGAATTTGTTTCTGCATCCTGTTTTCGGAGGGGGTGGGAATCCCTTCAAAACCAGCGATCCATGGAGATTTCCCGCTAGAGCCTCGGAATGGTGACAACGGGAGCAAGCAGGAAGCAAAAGGATTTCATGCATGAGACACCCCTGTGGATGAGGGACAGGGGGCAACATCGACGTGCGCACGGCCTGAAATAGACCTGGGCACCAAACTGGGGGGGGGGGACCCTAACATGGTCCAAAAGAAGAAATGATAAAGCCCAAAAACTGAGGCAGTGAGACAAGGGTCGACCGGAATCGGTTTTGCTTGGGTCTCCCTTCGAAACTAACCCAAAAAGGCGCGCCAAGCTTCACAGAAGCGCGCGCCCCACATAAGCTTTCTATAGTACTGCCATTTTGCAGCGAACCAAAGGCGGCCTGCATTGCGGCCACCTCCAAGACGTTTTGTTTTGTTTTTTCTTCGTCTTGTCTGTGAGCGGAAGTGCATGCCCCTTGATCACCAAATGGTCTATCCGCCCTTTGGCGCCGAGCCGCTAGAAGATCAAATCGGTTTGAACTACGATCCTCAAAGAAATCCATTGCCTTCGGGCATTGCAGCTTCTCTCCTGACTCGAGGCCTGGAGAAGGTCTTGCGGCACATTCTGGAGCTGATGCAGCGGCTTGGCTGTGAGATCTAGCTCAGTTTACGGCTAAGTGGTGGTTTGGATTTTGGTGGTTAAGGGGTTTCACAGTTACCCTCCACAGGAACCAGGGGTCCAAGTCCAAGTCCAAACCACTCCAAACCACCAACTAAGGGCTACCTGCCTAGCTTCCGGCCCTTGGTATCCCCTTGATTGGGCTCGGGCCTCGACCGCGCGTAGTTTTTAGGTTCCGTGTCTGGAACAGTGAATCTCACTGGCCAGCATGGATAGAAACGAAAGTCGACTGTTGTATGGCGAAAGCCGTTTCTCTTCGCTTGTGACACAGCTCCAGCTATGAGTGGGCGGGCCCTGGGTCCGCACAACTCAGTGACTGATCGACGGACCGGCTCCAACTGCCGAGACGTTGGGATCTCTCTGCTCCAAATCCAAAGTTTCGAGCTGTTTGGGACGTTGGGAACACACCACTTTTCAAAGGTGCCTGAGGCCAACAGAGCAAACACTTGCTTTCCCAGGGCTTGAAGATAAGTTACTTTCTTTCAGGGGTCTACAAAGTTCAAGCTTTTGAAGCAAGAGAGGGTTTTTGGTGCTTCGGAGCCCTTTCCTTTCCTGGATAAATTTAGCCGGCCTAACCTCGCAAAACAAAACAACAACAAAGCGCACGACGACTCGCGTTTTTCTGGAGGGGAGCTTGGTTTTCCGCAGGCGCGGGTTTTCCAAGTCGCCAAGTCGCCGAGTCGCGAGGTCCAAGGGCCACTGCCTGGTGGTGGTGGCAGAAGGGTGTGGCGACACCTTGCTGAAGAGCTCTGGGGAGGTCGACGGCGCCCTGGCAAGCAGTTGGCACGCGCAAGGCGCTCACCCAAGGGCCCCTTTGGGGCTGCAGGTTTTAGGCTTTGTCCTCCCAAGCCTCCCTTCACCCCCCACCCAACAAAACAAGGTGGTCAAACTACAATTCTGCGATGGTTTTGCCAAGGTCGTTTGTTTCTTGACCCTGCTGGTTGGTGGTGGTGCCAACAGATGTTGGGCTGGTAGAAAGGCAATCATTTACAACAAGGATGCCAATTTCCCGTACAGGTGAGCCAAAGTGGCTTGCTGCCACGAACACCATGGGGGATGCTGTGGGAGGGGGGGACTAGATGCACAGCACGCTGTATCTCTGAGAAGCGCAGTGTAAAATGCGTTATTTTGCAGCGGCCCAAGTAGCTCCTCCTTGTGCTCGGTAGCAGGATGACAGCAGACTTGAGCAAGCCAGAGGTGCTTTCAACTCCGCCTCTCCCCGCAATTTTCTATTGCTAGCAGAATCTGCCTTTTTGGTCCGTTTCCAAAGGAGGAAGCCCGATTTGGCCGTTTTTCCTTCGTTGCCATGCAGCTGCCGTGCGACGTTTCGCGCTGAACGCCCGCCGCCCCGCGGCCGCGGCACGGGGGCTTTCGTGGCTGGGGCGCCAGTAGACGAGGGCCGTGAAGGGAGCTGTGGGCGGCACCCTTTTGCATCGGCCTAGCCGCAGAGCGGCGCAATGGCAAGGCAGCCGACGTGTCGCCCAAGGACTTGTTGCAGCTGTTGGGTTCGTTCTTGTTTGTTTGTTTGTTTGTTGGTTGGTGGGTAGGTGGGTAGTTTTTTTTTTAGTTGTTGCTGTTTGCTGTTGCTGCTGCTGCTGCTGCTGCTGCTGCTGCTGCTAGAGTTTCCGCCAGTTTTCCATTTATATGTGTTTTTCCCCCATGGACGGGTGAAAGAAATGGAACTTGGGACGCCCTCACCCCCTCACCGTTGGGCAGTGTGCACCTGACCATCTTGAGATTGGGTTCGTGGCTTGCTTGGCATCTCGAAGGAGCAGTGGGAAAAGAGCCAGGTGGCCACACCCCAGGTGATTGCGCAGATCGCGTGGTCATGCGCAAAGTCGATTCAGAAAGGTGCAGCATCGCCTGAATCAGCTGCGGCTGCTGCCGTGTCAAGGCTAGCAGAGTTTCCTTCACAGAAGCTTTCCTACACGGCATAGTCTTTTGCAACCCTCCGTTCCGCAAGGCGGTCATTTTGGGACGCCGCCTCTGGCGTGGTTCTTTGCAAGCTGACAGCTGGCGGGGGTGCTGGATTCGGCCCACAAGATCTTGCAGGCTTGGCGTGGGCCTTCGCCAAGGTCAGTACTTCGGGGGGGCCTTTGATGGCGTTGCCGGCACAGGCCGGCTGCTCTGCCTGCCTCAGCCCGCGGGGCCCCAGCAACATGGCGCGGTGGTCTGCCACTGTGCTGCACCGGGGTGCGCCGCCCTTTGGTGCAGCAGCCGCCTACAACATGACGGAGCCAGCCCCGCAAGGCACCGCCAACCTCGTGTGGGCGTTGGCCAAAGCAAGCCATGTCAGGGCTGCTGCGATTGGCGTGTTGGGGCGCTTAGCGCAGACCCGAGTTGAGGGGCCTGGCCCTCAGGAGCCGGCAAACACGGCGTGGGGCTTCAGGGTGCTGGAGCCCGCTGGCCAGTCGCCATGGGACGCAGCAGGCTCGGCAGCTCGGCTGATGGTGAAGCGGCTCGACGCGCAGTGCCTCGCCAACCTTGCATGAGCGCCTGCGCAGATCGGATGCAAGGAGGTGCCTCCATCCAACGCTACATGTTCAATGCCTGTGCTTCTCCGGGGCAAGCCGCAGGAACCAAGCAGCTTCGTGCGGACCACTGCCAAGGTTTCTTTCCAGGAGCCCCTGCCTCCGGATGCAACCTGGGACACCGCCATGGCGCGCGCGGACGAGTTCAGCTTTCGGGTGCCCGCCAGCGTCGCGTGGCCCTCTGCCACCCCGAGCCGCCGCAGCAGACCGTCGCTCGAGGCCTTGGCGCGGCGCGGTGAGGCCGCGGTTGGGGGCGCGGGGCCGCAGGATGTGGCCAACGTGGCTTGGGCGTGTGCCAGGCTTGCGCCCTCCGGCGCTGCGCCCGCGGGTGCGCTAGGGCAAGCCTTCCATGAGCAGCAGCTCAAGTTGCGGGATCCTCACATGCACAGAGCAGCCGGTTTTTACAAAAGGCACCAGTTCCTTCGATTTCAACAGCTTGACTTTAGGAACCTGTTTCACTACAGCTGGGTTCCTTGTTCCATCGATATCCAGGTTTTGGGCCATGTGGGAGTTTTTCAATTTTTGTGGACCGCCTTGTCATAGTTAAAGGGGACTGCCCCCAAAGAAAAACCCACACTTTCCGGGCTCTGAATCGCATTTAGCCCGAGGAGCCGGCCAACTCGGCGCGGGCGCCCGCGGCCTCATCGGCCTCCGGCGCATCCTTCTGGAGCGCCGCCGCCGCACGGGGAGCCGCGGCTGCTGCTTCGCCGGAAGCCGCGTCCGCGCCGGTGGCAGACTTGGAGAACCTCGTGTCCTCGCTGTGCCTGGTGGGCCATGATGGGGATGGGGACGGGGATACAGATTCGTCCGGCGCAAGGGTAGAAATCTAGTCCAGGGCAACTGGAAAGCCAAGGACGACATTTGGACCAAATCTATGTTCTACCTCTTACTGGGGGGAAAAACCGCAAGATTGCATCAAAATCAGCCAGGTACTCAAGCCCGATCCGCCAACTCTGCCAACATTCCTCCCCCTGCAAATTAACATGGAACCCAAAAACAATCTTTAGGAGAATCTCCTGGGGAATGCCGTAATTTGCAGAAAACGGAGACCCCTGCAAAAAAGTACGATTGTTGCGCAGGGTCTCTTCAAAGATACGTTTGAGCCCATGAAGCAAATCTCGGAAAGACCAGGCAACGTAGAGGATCCCAAACTAGGCATGAGTGAGTGATTCCAAGAAAAAGGTATTGAACTGAAGCTAAAAGGTTTCTTGCTGCTCAGTGAATGAGGGAACGACCCCTATATAGCCTATAAGGCAATCCCGTGTAGGTTTCCTCCTTTTTAGGAATCCCCCAAAACCGGTTCATTCTCCAGACGGTCTCGTCGGGTTCCCAAGACCCGTGGCGCCGGCTCCGCGTCTCCGCGTCGGATCCGTCAGGAGGACTTCGCGCGTTTGCTGGAGGCCGTGGCCGCTGCGCTGCAGCAGCGCGCCGGGCGGCTGGATGGGCATGGCCTGCCTGAGGTGGAGGCAGGTGGTTCGGGGGAGGGGGCGGAGTTGTGGCGTGCATCGGATGGGGATGCATCGGGTAGCAGGGATGGGCAGCAGGTTGTTATTTTTCCCCTTCCCTTTTTTGAGGCTGGCTTTGTGTTTGTTCTTGTGGGTACAGCCGTGCCAAATGGTGTCAAGGTTGTTGAGCGAGTACCCTTTCTTCGGCTTGCTTTAGGGGAACACCGATAACCACCCCAAATAGAAGCCCATGGTCAGGCGCCATCTTTCTTGCTTTCAACCTTTGCAGTCAGAGAGTATTTGACACCCACTGGTTATTGCTCCTTAGACCCTCCCACATAATCTGGCTGGACTGGGGTTCCTGGATAGGAATGAACCTCCTCAGGGCTCCCTTCAAGCATATACAATGTACGTGGCTGTTCATGTCCCTGCAACATGGAAGTTTGTTTCAAAAACTCGTGGGCGTTTTGGTTAAATGGTCACTCCCTTCAAATTAACATTCATACGGGAGCCCCAAGACGAACTCCCTCCAACAACAATGTTTGTGTTGGGTTCGATGTTGGGTTCGAGCAGTTTTTGTTTTTGGCGGGCGTGCGATGGATACCAACTCGATTTAAGAAAACCAGCCATGAACCACAAAACACTGGCAAGCGGCAACTTCGAGACTCAGTTTTCGAACCCACCGAGCCGCACTGTGGCCTGGGGTCCAGGCAGATGTGGTAACTTCGAGGGATCCGGACAAGCCTGCGGTGCTGCTGAGCCGAAATCGGCTTTCTGCGCTTTGGAAGCCCCCTGGCTGGTGCGCCAGCGTAGGCGCCCGGGGGGCGGGGGGCGGGGGGCGGGGGGGAAGCAGCAAGCAGGCTGGACTCGTTGAAGTTATGGGCTAGAAGCCTACATAAGCCATGTTTCCCAGAACCGCCAGTCGAGGAAGGTCCAACATTCCCATTTCCTTAATACCGGCTCATGGGATTGCACCGCCACGGGAACATATAATCGGACACGTCCCAATTTAAGCATGGCTTTTGACGATGGTGCACTTTTGACGATGGCGCGATTTGGAGGGGATTGGAAGACTACGGTCATGTTTTGAAGGACTCGTGCGCATTTTCCATTACTGTTGGAAACAGAGGCTGGCCATGGATATTGCGCCCAGGGTTAAAGTCTGTATCAAATGGGGAGCCAAGAGTCCCCCAACTTGCACCAGCCAATCAAGAAGCGTCTCGACACATGGGCTTGTGCTTCTTGTGGCTACCATGTTTTTTGGGTTGGTGAAAAGGGACACCAAAAGGAAAGCCATCGTTTTGGCTCTTCGTTCTTCCCACGTCGCACGCGGCTTGCCCGGGCCCTGGTAGGCCGAGACGACCTGGATGTGGACGCGGAGCGCCCGGAGGTTCCGACCACGGGGCAACTTCAGGTGCAGCTTGGCCACGAGAGGGCGGTCAAACATGGCCTTTCTTGAGCTTTTTCAAACCTGGGGTGCTTTGGTGGCGTGAGGCTTCCATTTCTGTTGGTGCCACGGGCAGTTGGATGGGGCTTTTTTCGGGGTACCCTCTTTTGGTGGATGTGTAGGAAGCCGAAAGGGAAGGAGGCACTATTTTGGGAGCCTTAAAAAATGGCTGGTTCCTTTTCGATTCTTGGTGCTGCCGAAGAGACTGCCTTTTGAGGGGGATGCCGAAAGGGGCTCGAATTTTGACAATCCACATGGGTGTCTCTTTTCTTGTTTCTGGGCGGGGAGGGGTGGGTGGTGGTACCATTTGCACCTTAGTTCACAGGGAAGACCAAAAGAACAATCCCTCCTTTTGGTGCTCCGCATCTCCACACATATCCACGTGGCCGGCCTAAAGGGAAGCCAACAGAAGAGCCACGCCCATCAATAGAGCAACGCGCTTCGGATCTGCACCGGGGGAGTGGAGATCTCCGGTAGGTGTGGGGAGGACTCGAAAATACAGCAGATTTTCGCGGAAGACAACAAGTAAGATCTTGAATCAACTCTCGAGCCAAACTGGAATTGGAGGAGGATCCCTCACCCTCTCCTTCTGAGGGTGGGGTGACGTGGGGGGCCGGCCAGTCACCTAAGGTCACCCCCCCGGCAAAACCGAGGCACCACTGGATCATGGAGCGCTTCGGGTCGTACCCCATCTCACTGGACCCCAAGGCGGGGGTTGTTGGTTTTCCTTTTGGCGTCCCTTGAAAGAGCCAACCAAAAAGGGGTACCCTCAAGAAAGACAGGGCCAAGCATTGCTCAAGCCTCCTTTCGGTTTTCTTCTTTGAGCCAACGAAGCAGGTGATGCAGAAGTAGCTTGATGATGCTTCCTTTTTTTCTGGGCCCCAGGGTCCAGTTGTTTGAACAAAGTATTGTCCAACAAGGTGTCGCACGGCTTGCTCCACCGTCTAGACGTCGGCACCTCTGGAGTTCTCCTTTGGGCAAGCAGCTACGGCAGTTACTATGCTGCGCGCCTGTGCTTCGCCCAGCGAAGGGTGCGGAAGGAGCGGGTTTTAGAAGGCAACGGCCAAGCGGGAAGTTTCCTCTAGCCTCCGCCCCTCTACAAGAGAATGTTTCTCTAGCATGGACCCTCTTTCGTTTTTTGTTTTTTGTTTTTTGTTTTGGGGAGGGTGGGTGGTAACGCCGACCCCTTGGGCAAAATTCAAAAGCCCAGATTTGATGAGGCCCCTCAAAAAGCACACTCAGAAAGTATGGATGTCTCTTTCCAGACCCCGTATGTAGCACCCAACTGAGGAGTACCTCTGTCTCTGCCGAGGGCTACTGGGACCCCAGCGCATCGACCTCCCCTTGGCAGAGCCAGACGAGCGGCGGCGCGCAGAGGTCTCAGAGTTGGGGCGGCCCAGTAGTACCGTGGTGGCGGCTCGGCACAAGCAGCATACGTTCTGCCCATTTGATGGGGAGCTCCTTTCCAAGATGGTTTCCACTACCCCTAAGCCCCTACCCTCATGGGTTTACTGGGATATACGGCCACTGTATAGACACTATATACTTGTAGTGGAAATCATCTTAGATCCTGTGGGGAAGGGTGGAGATTCCTTTTTTCAGGTCTTGGAATGATGTTTGCCGATGCATTGACAGACGCATTTCCCCAGATGGACGACACCGTTTTCCAACCGTCGGGTTTTGTGGGTCCCAGGTTAATCTGCAGGAGGATATTTCGCGCGTTTGCCCTTTTGCTCTTTTGGTCCGTTTTCACTTGAACATGGGCTCCATTGGTTTCAGCGCTCGATATTCATGGAGCCCTTTGTTTTGCCCAAGCACCACGCCCAGAAGGACTTGCAGATTGGCCCCCCGCGCAAAAACAAAACGGTTTAGACAAAGCTGATTGCCCCGAGGGCTGTCTGATCCAGGATTGTTCTGAGGGAGTCCCCCTGGCTTTTGACTAACAGGGTAAACTGTGTCAGTGCAGCGCAATGCAGACATTCCACAACCCGCTGCAAGGCTTTCATGCCCGATGGGAAAGGGATCGAATTGCGAAAGGGTTGCCGAGGGTGTCGGCAGGGACTCCCTTCCTTCGGGTTTCTGTTTGGCGAACCCTGTGTCCTGGGGGGCAGTGGGGAAACAAACGCACACACACACACAGATAGCCCGTGTTCAGCAAAAAGGCGCTAACTATGTCCCGCGAAGGCGGCCAAGCCAAGCCCGAAAAGCGGCTGACGTCAGGAGGGAGCCTTTCACTTTGCAAGCGACTCGGTCGCTGCTCCGGGATCGGAGTCCGATCCCAGCTCGCAGCCTGAGGCGGGCACTGCTTTTTCTGCAAGACGCCGAGCCAATTTTTTTAGGGGGAAGCAGAATGAGGTTGTTTTCTCCTCATCTTTCTCTCAGTTCTTGGCCTTTTGCTTGGTTCTGCCCTCTTTTCTGCGCCGACCTTTGACTGGTTCAGGAGAGTTGTTGAAACGAAGGGGTTTAGGAGAGACAAGGCTCAATCCGAATCCTTCTAAGAACCCCTCTCTGGGCACACAGGGCCTTGGGCTTCATCGCTATCGGCTGAATGCATGTGTGTGAATGTTGGTGTTTTTTTTGTTTGTTTTTGAGAGTACCCTTTTCCCCTTGGTTTCAAGAGAAGCCAAAAGCAAACTCCGCCACGTTTGGGTCCAAATCCCTGTCTTGAGGCACGCCCTCCTGGCAACCAACATGCACCCCCAAACAAATTGGTGTATGCCCCCCACTCCCCCGGTTCCTCCATTTCCCTTTGTGGAACCTCTCAAAGTGGCGATTGTTTCAACGGACGCGACACATGTCAATTGATCAACTTGTGATTTGGGGAGTTCCAGTGGCCTCCCCTCCCCCCCCACTCGGGGTGCTCAAGTGGAACCCTGCTTGATTTGTGTGAGTAGCCGTAACCCCCATGTCACTCTGTTCATTTGGCCATTTGGCAACTCTGTACGTGTGCCCCATGTCAACCCCATAGAGTAGATGCTTTCAAAACATGGACTGCTCATATTGGTCACGCCTTCCCCCCCCCCCCGGCGAAGGAGGGTCTGGTGAGTCTGGCGCGGGTGCGGCTGCTCACAGGGCGCCAGCACCAGATCCGAGCCCACCTGGCGCATTTGGAGCACCCGCTGGAGGGGGACCTGGTTTATGGGGGCAACCCCGGGCCCAGGCAGGGGCTGAGGGGCTTGTGGGCTGGTTTGGGGACCAGACAAGTTGACCAGTTGTTATTTTGTTAGTTGATGTGTTACTTAGTTGCTTAGTTTGTTTGATTGTTTGTTTGGTCGGGTCAGGCGGTCGGTCGGTCTGTCGATCGGTCGGTCGTGCTTTTTGTCTCCATCCCCCATGGCCAAGTTGGATGCGCCTAACAATGGGCAGTACCGCTGAAAAGCCCCCAAGGAAAAGCAGCACGTAAATGAATCCCGCGAACATCGGTGTCCTTTTTGGTTGTTTTGGTAGAAAAATAGATGGCCCTGGTTTGCCTGGTAGTCTAATCATCTACCAGGGCCGCCCAGGGCCATCTATTACTTGCCCTAAAAGGACACCTATTAGCCTATGCGCACGAAACGGTTTTGGGCGAAACACCACGAAACAGTTTTGGTCCCACACAAACCTGCTGTTTTGTGGTGGTTTCATTTTGACCCACACCCAACTTCCTGCCCGCGGAAATGAGCTGAACTGAGTCCCACGAAACAGTTCCGCAACAAACTGCCCTGTTCCAGGGTCTTCCTGCACGCTGCCCGGCTGCAGCTGGAGGACTTCAGCGCCGCCTCCCCGCTGCCGCCGGACCTCGCGCGGCGGCTCCGCGCGCTGCGGGCCTTGGACCCGCCGGCGCGGGCGGCGCTGAGAAAAGCCGACCGGGCCGGAGGCGTTTGCTCGCGCGACAGAGGGGATGTGGGTCGGGTGTTGCTGGATTTCGCCGGTCAAACACGATCTTTCTTGGGTTCAGGGTAAAATTGAGGTGTTTTGGGGGCTTCCTTCTGTCTTTTTTTGGCTGGAGGTCGCCATTCAGGGATGACCCTTTTTGGGCTAATGCTGAATTGAGATACTCCTTAGGTCGCGGGTTTTTGTTGTTTCGTTGTTTTTTTTGGGGGGTTTGGCGAGTCGAACATGACCCTGAGAATGGCATCGGTTTCCCTTTGCTTCGACTTACTCAAATGGGAGGCCAGTTCCTTCAAATTTTGGGGACCACAGTGGGTTTCCCTTTGGCTTCTCTTGAAAACCAGTCAAAAGAGGGCTCCACCCTTTGTCAAAGGTACACCACCTGCCGGAAGAGGTTGAAGGCAAAATCAAAACAAAGGCGGAAGATTGAAGTGTGCTGCAAGCGTTTCGACCGACGACATGGTCCTTCGGCATAGAGACCCTAGCCTGAAACTCATTCGTTTTCTAGACACCGGCTTTATTGTCAATCACTGGTTGCCAAGTAAAGAATCCTTTGATTTCAGCCAAAGGCACAGGCAGACAGCCAGCAACCGAACCGGCTCGGCTGATTTCGCTGAGGTGGCGGCAACAAAAAGTTGGCCGACGTGGGGCCATGGTTTCGCGACAAGATCGTGGAACGCTTCAAGCAGGCACCGGAATTGCTTGATCTGAATGGTCCGCGCGCATGTCTTGCACTTTGTACGTGTGTTGCTGTGTGGGTGTGGGCATTTGAGTGGTTGTGGGCACTCTGGTGGCAACGTTTGGCTGGTGAGCGAGCTGCGATTTCTCTGATGCCTGCCAGGTTAAGCTGCCCCTCACAGCTACTTGGCTTACAAGTCAGGCACCCGGCCGCGTGTGGTCAATATGGGGCGAGTGATAGGTTCGAACCAGTCGACAATGACACTTGTTTAACGCACTCTTGTTACAAGACCCACTTGGGGGTGACTCAATTTCTCAACCCTGGCGTTCTTTTCTGTGCTCAGAGCTCTGAACGAGGTCCAACAAATTCTTGGTATATCCAGCACGGTTCCCTTTCAAAGGCTTCAGCCCGTTTTGACACGGCCAAATGACAGTGGCTTGTTGGTTGAGACGTTGTATGAGATGGACCACGCTTTGCTCATGTTTGGTATGACATGGGCCACCCGTGTTTTGCTTCTTACGCGCAGCACTTCAGTAGATGATCTCAGGATTTTCATTTTCACTTCAACACTCGTACACTTATGGATGCCAGGAACCTGGTTGAGAGAGGCAAGCCCTGCTTGTGATGAGAGAGGCTTTTCCAGTTGATTCAGCAAGATGCACCTTGGCCGAGGTGAAATACATTGACCCCACCTACATGATCCGGGCCATTCCGCCCAATGCCAATGACAGCCACCTGTCTTCAGCAGACGTTCAGAAGTAGCCAGTTTGACTGAGAGATTGCTCACTTGGCCTATTGTTGCCTGGTTGGTTGGTTGGTTGGTTGGCTGGCTGGCTGGCTGGGTGGTTGGCTGGCTGGTTGGCTGGCTGGCTGGTTGGCTGGTTGGTTGTTTGCTTGTTTCTTTGCTTTGCTTGCTTTGCTTGCTTTGCTTGCTTTGCTTGCTTTGCTTGCTTTGCTTGCTTTGCCTTGCTTTGCTTGCTTTGCCTTGCTTTGCCTTGCCTTGCCTTGCCTTGCCTTGCTCGCCCGCTCGCTCGCTTGCTTTGCTTGCTTGCTTTGCTTGCTTGCCTGCCTGCTTGCCTAATTGCTTGGGCTGTTGGGGTGGGGGTGCGCACATAAGATCTTCGATCGTTCCAGGTGTGTACTGCTCCATGCTGAGCCACAACGCTGTGCATGCGGCCATGGCGGGCTACACGGGCATCACTGTGGGCTGGGGGGCCAAGTCCTACCCCCTCCTGTGAATTGGTGAGGAACCGGCCCAGGCTCCAAAACAGGGGCCCCGCCCCCGTTTTTTCGTGGTCCGAGGGAACAATTCAAGCGGGTGTTTGGCGAATGGCGAAACACCTTTCGGCACTGGGAGGAACCCAACTGGATGTGATACACTCATGTGTGGATATGGAGTTTGTGCATTGCATCCCGCTAATGACCTTGATGACCTCACGTGATGGTGTCCTTTTCCAGAGTGAAGCACAAACATTCTTTGATCCGTGCTGCCAAACCACAACCCTCCCAATAAAGATAACATAGGGCAATACAACCATGATAGGCACTACATCAACGTTGTTGAGTTTCTCTTCGGAAAAATAAAATCGGTTTTTAGTGGAGTGAATAATCGCCCCTCCCTGCGATAAGAGAGAAGAGTGGTTTTGGCATGTGACGAAACAACCGAAGCTTGAGGCCAGGTCAATTCGCGGCATGTAATGCTGCCAATCGCCTGCGTCACCAAGAACCCGCAGAAGCTCGGCCAACACTCTTCAGCCTCCGGCTCCTTTAGGTTCCTTTAGGTGTTGGGCTCCATGTTTTGGGAAAACCAACCTCTTGGCCATGTGTTGATCGTATTATTACTATTACTACTGTTATTATTATGTTTTCTTCATGGTGTTTGGTTGCCATTTTCTGTGATAGAAGGGAATTCCCCTCTTAAAGTGACTGCAGATTGCTTTCTCTGGCACGGACGCCCTGCCTCGGATCTCACAGTGCAAGCTGGGATGGCTTGTTGCAGGCCTTGGACTTGCAATCATGGCACACAGATTTCCAGTTACACCAGTTTGAACTTGAAAAATGGGTATATGCAGATGGGAAAAGCTGTCCACCGTCCATAAATTGCAGTGAGCCGCACCAGTTTGAACTTGAAAAAGCCCGCTAAAGGGGCCGTGACACGTGACGCACGACCCAAAATCGCCTATGTGAGGAAGAAGGTGGACCTAAGCAGCCAGAGGCGACATGGGCCAGGGACGCTGGGGCGGCGCTTTGGGCCATGTTTGGGGGTTGGATTTTGGCGGATACATTTGGGCCAGGTAAAGTAGTCGACTTTACAAGCTGATTTGGACCATCCCGTTATATTTGCATGAATCCTTCAGTTGTGAGGTGGGTCTCGAACTTTCCTTTGGCACGAAATTGGGAGCGGCCCTTGGGGTCTCAGAAATTGCTAACTGGCAGAGTGCAAATTGTGCCAAGGAAGTGGATGGGCCATTGACAGGTCAAAAGCCAGACCGTCCAATCAAGCCTTCGGTTCTTCCGAATTTGGTGGGCGGTTTTCAGGGGGGGTTGTTGGCTTGCAGGGAGCCAGATTCAATTCTCCAAAGGAAACTAGATCTGATGAGTATAAGCATTCATCCGAAGTTGACATTCCCATCCTCTCTCAAAGCTGCGGCCAAGAAAAGAAGAAGTGGAGCAACAGCCACGGACACACACACACACACACACACACACACATGTACATATCTATATAGATCAGTATAGTTATATGTGTCTCTTTTGCTTGAATTTACATCAGGACAGTGGCCTCTCCAAAAGCTTCCCTAAGCCGACGCTCGAATCCCGGCTTTCTCTGGGATTGGGATGCAGGTTCCAGGAGCTCGTGAGCTGCACGCTGCAGCCGGACTTCGCCCCGGACGGCTGGGAGGAGGTGATCGAGGAGGAGGCCGCCCGGCTGGGGGGGCCGCGGGGGTGGGGCGGGGGTGGGGGGGGGGATGGGAGGGATGCCCAAAAGCTTGGTGAACAAAATTGCAATACTTCGGGAGTTTTTGGTTGCCGGCTTCCCTGCGCGGATTTTTCCTTGGGCCCCCTCCTCTTTACGTTTTTGTCGGCGTGGCGGTGGGTAGCCACACTGGGCTGCTGAGAGGCTCTCAGCTCCAGCAAGCCCAAAGGCAGCTTCACTGCGGCTTCAACCGAGAGCCAATTTTCTTTTGGGCAACGCCCTCAAGAAAGTGGTTCAACACAAATCCGCGCACTCCATGAGGTCCATTTCAACATAAGATTTTAGGCTTTAGCTGGGTCCCTTGCGCACCCCCAGTCAATCTGCAGGCTGTTGGCATGGACATTATTGCCACGACACCACGAATTCTGGCGATACCACGGTGCCCGTTCAATTTTCTCCAGCTCTCCCTCCCAGATCAGCATGGGAATTCCACAAGCCGTAAGCATTTTCGGGGGGGGGCCGGGTCTTTTTGGCCTCTTGGAGCCCAGCTGGGCGCTCCTCGCTCCTCGGTGCCGGGCACGCTCCGCTTGTGCGCGTCTCAGGCGGGGAACCCGCTCTGGCGGATGTGTGGCGGACCCCGTGGAGTGATTTGCCAAGGCCCACGGAGCCGGCCTCTGAGGCGGACTCCCCCGCGCGGTCGGGAGGGGGGGGGGGGGTGGCAAAAGGGCGGGGTGAGGATTCGGAGGAGAAAAAAACAGGCGTGGGAACGGAGCCAAGGAAACTGGCTCCTTGGGGGTTTTGGGGGAACTGGGGATCAACCTGAGGATGAGCAAGTTTTTTGGGTGAGCTAGGATACCGGCGCGTCAAAAGAGCCAAGCCGTCGGTGTTAGCCTCCCTCGAGCGATCGTATGGAAGGTCTGAGGCCTTTTGGGAAGGGAAGGGGTCTGGTGCCTTCCATGTGTGTCATTTTCAAGGATGGACCTCCAACACGGATTTGGTTTTTTCCTTTTGGTTGTCCCTTCACCACCCCAAAAAGGGGGTCCCTCCGAAAGACAAACCCGTGTGAGCTAAGGAAGGGGAGGTCTCGGGGTTGAGCAGGTCTCGGGGTTGAGAAGGTCTCGGGGGTTGAGATTTGGGGTTGCCGAGGTGTTTGTGAGGCCCACCGCCACGCACCGAGCCCCACTCACACACGCGCCCGTCCCCTTGAAATGGTGGATTTGGTCAATTTGCGGAGAGCGGCTGCCGATTGGCGTCAACTCCTCTTTTTCAGGATGCAGGTTGCCAACAGGAAAGGGCAAAGACATCGGCTTCCCATCTTTTTGTGCTCGGGGCCCCTCATGGTTGTTTTACCCTTTGCTGCCCCTCAGGGCGGACAGTAGGTTCGAATGCCTTCTGAGTCTCGCCAGGCGTCATGGCTGGAGCTTGAGCATCTGGCCTGAAGTACGTGGGAGCGGGGACTTGCCCACCACTTTGATGGACCAGGCGGGGCATCGGCGGAGCTGAGCAAAGCGCGAGGCAGGCGCGAAAGCGCTCATGCTGAGAACGATGCGCCCCCCCATGCCATCAAATGTGACCCTTACCCAAAAACACACACAAATCACAAAAATACCTGGGCCTCATTGCAGAATTGTTAACTGATTCTAAGAACAACAGGGTGCCTGAACTTCACCATTCCTTACAGTGAAATCTCGACAAAGCGTTGGCTTGTTGCTCCGTACAGCGGGATATCATTGGTTTTTCCTTGTGCTTTTTGCTTCCACGGAGGAAAAGGGGGGGGGATAGCGTGTAACACAAGACGGTTACCATGTGTGGAGTTTCTCGCGCCTTGTGCCCAAACACGGTCATAGTCCTCCGTTTTTTGCCTCGCCCGTTGGTCAGAAAAGGTGAAGTCACCAACGCACAGAGATGGGCTTTAAAGGGCAGGGCAACCAAAAGGGACAACCAATATTTTTGGGGTTCCCTAAAAAGAGCCAGACAAAACTGCCCGCAGAGCTTGAGGGGGGGAGGGGGGCGGCCAGAGTGACTCTTTGGGTTTGCTTTCAAGGGGTTTATTCAGTTCTCCTTGGCCTAAGGGGCTATGGGGAGGGGGGGGGCGGGGGCGGGCATTTTCAATTTATAAAGGGCCTATCCGTGGCTTAGCCCGCGGGGCTGGAAAGAGTGGTTGGCTCAAGTAAGCTAGTGCAACCATGGCTGCAGGTGCCATGGATGCCCTAAATCTTGGCAAGGAGAAGCAAGGTGGAAGACTTCATGGTTGTTGGGAAAACAATTTACATTTTTTCTTATTGTGGTTTAGTGGGAAAATCCCCACTTAACTGCTAAATTTAAATTTTTGCTCCCCTTCCTCAACGTCAACAAGATTGAGAGGGAAACAGGGTGGAACAGGTGGAACAGGGGGAACGGGAGGAACAAGCGGAACCCTGCAATTTACTTATTTACCGCGATATGCCAGAGTTTCGGGCTGGTTCGCTTGCAGTTGGGATTTGGCACATGTGGGCCCCCCTCGATCCGGACATCGCATTCAGCCGCGCCGGTTTCCTCCCTGAGACGGGCTGCCGGGCGAATGAGCGAGCCAGGTGAAGGGCGGGAAGGTCTTCTTCTTTGGCAAGGACTCCTGGGCTTGGGGCCCAGAGACCGGCGCCGGGCTTCTTCTCGCTTGTTTTCACCAGGCCCGCCAGCGTTACTCGCGGTTCCCAGCTGTCCGTTTCCTGAGCTGTTTGGGTTTTTAGTTGGTTCGGCGGTTGGGTTTCCATATTCAACCCACCAAAGCTTTTTCAACTCAAGTCGGTTTGGTGGTCGTTTCCCACGAAGCCCACTGGAAGCGGTCGACTTGTCGCAGATCCGTACACGGACAGCGATTCGACTCGTTGGAGCCGAGGTGACCCAGACCCTGGGTTTGCCGGGCGTACGGCTGCAGATGCAGCAAGCGGGGCAAGCTCGATGACCGACCCTCCCTCCGTTGCCATGGCACAGAGGGTCCAGAAGGTCCCGTAGAGGAAATGGATCTTGGTATCCCTTCCACAAATGTTATGTGTTTTGTTCTTTTTGGGAGGGAAGGTAGTCTATGGTCCGATACTTGTATAGTTCTACGGGTCCCACTGCCTGGTTCTGTCCGCGGAGGTGGCAAGGGCACTCCTTTTAAAGCGGTATAGCCATGGTGGCAGAATCAACCGCCATGCTTTGAGCTTCACCCAACACCGATCCAAGAAGAGTGAACACACCTGACATCTATTTGGGGGTAAAGTCAGCGATCCAATTATATTTTTGGGTGATTCCATCCAATAAGGTTTCGTAAGTTCCGTATTGAAGGGCCGTATTGACGTAATTTGACCTTGTGGCCCTGGTCATCATGGTGCCAAACAGTTGTGGGGTGGGACAGGCCCAGATCCTCTTTGCAGCCAGCTTTAGCATCACATGGTGCCAGTGTCCCCGTGGTTAAATGGCTGAAAGGGCCATGGAACGGACAAGGACCGGAACCTGGGCTGTGCGACTTGTGACGGGCACAGGCCGGGCCTCGCCGCAGTTTGTTCTTCAAGCCGGGGCCTGAGAAGGCGTCGCCATTTTGTAAATGGGTGTGTCGTTTTGTGAGGGCACCCCTGTTGGTTGAGAAAGGGAAGCCAAAAGGAAAACAAAAGCCCATTTCCGGAAGTTCCCCGAAAAAAAGACACTCCACCCAAAAGCAGTGGTTAGACTGGGTCCCTCATATGGATTGGTTGCATTTTGATGGTTTCTCAGAATTATGCGTGGGGGGTTGTTTCGCTTCAAGCCATTTGGAGGCTTGTCATGGGCCCAGCAAGGTAGGCCGAACCCGACCCATTTCACTATGTCCCCGACAACCGGAGCTGCTTGGAATCATCGAAGTCCGCTCTGCTTCCTTCGGGCCTGACTCTCATCGCTTTCGGGAGTCGGTTCGGCAGAGCTTTAGGCGATCCAGTTGTCTACGGTGGTGCACATCTTCCCGCGGTGGGTGTAAAAGGGGATGATCATGACGGGCAAATGTTAAGATTTTCAGTGGCACCCGATGAAAATGGAAGAGTGGCCCAGCTCCGGCGCGCGCATTGCTTTTCACGTGCCGAGGCCGGCAGAAGTGGCCGCCACCATTGTCACATGCCCGGCACTCAGGGGATCAAGTAACGACAGGCGCCTGGCTATGATTTTTTCGATGGCTGGAATACCTGCCAAAATGCCTTTGGGATTGGTCCCTGGGAGATGGGGGGTGATGTTTAAGGGCGTGCTGCAAAATGGTGTTGGTTTTTTATTGGGAGCATGATTGGGCACGACGCCCCCCATGTAAATGATGTCCACAGTGTCCATTCCATAGGTGTTTACTCGCCCCCCAGACACACGAACCAGCCCCAACTTGCGCTCTTAAGGGTAAATGGGGAACCACTTCCTAACCCCCAAACCACTCATCCAAACCACCAATTAGCAAGGAAGCCGACTTTTGGGGGTTAGCTTAAAGGGAAGCAAAAGGACGTGCTGGTGCTCAGCAGGGAATGACCCAGGGTCTTGGGAATGAGCCCAGGTATTCCCTGAAAGGAAACCAGAAAGAATGGTTTTTCTCGGGGTCATTCCATTTCTCATTCCCTGCCGTATCGCACCAGGGCACGCTTTTTGAAACATCAAATGGTCCCCTTGGGGCCGCAGTAAAGGACACGTCGTCGGGGAAGGGAATTCTTGAGGAGGCGGACTGTTGCCCTGGGCCTGAAAAATCAGTAATTAGAGAGCTGGCCGCGGACCACCGGATGTTGGGTTGGATCGCCTGTCGGCCACGCCGAAGCACGCAGATCAGCCTCCCTCGTAATGATTTTTTGGTTGGTTGGTTTGGTGCTTTTTGAACCAACCCTTTTGGTAGCTTGCAAAACGCACATTGGCATGGCACAGGGCTCATGTCGGTTCCCTTCAGTAGCAAACGTTTGGGACACGGCCGGGTGTGAGTCATGATGCATGTATGGCCTACGGACGTGGAAAGATGGTATACGGGATCAAGGGCGGCCTTCAAAGGCACTGATGGTCCGCAGCCTCTGGGGGGCTACATGCTCACCAATTCCAAATTTGCTTTTCAAGAAGTAGCCTTTCGGAAATTGCTTTCAGGATCCCACCGACCCGACCAAACCCAGAGAAGCTCCAGTTGAAAGGAAAAGGTGTGTTTCCAGGACCCCCTCAGGCAGGTTTCATGAATGTTTTAGGGGTTGCTGGACTGGCCACACCTTTGGGACGAATATTTCCCTGGGAGTGGTTCCAGGGAGGGGGGGGCTTCTGTT